TACCCCCGGGATAGCCCCGGGGCTCTCACGGGGAACCCCCGGGGCACACTCGGGACACCCCCAGGACACCCTCGGCATACCCCCGCGACACCGCCAACACTCTCACGGGGCACCACAGGGACACCCTCGGGATACCCCCGGGGCACCCCCGGGAGATCCCCGGGGCACCCCCGTGACAGCCCCAGGGCACCCCCGGGGCCCCCCGCGCCACCCCCAGGACACCCCCGGGGCACCCCGGGACAACCCCGAGGCACGACCGAAACACCCCCAGGGCACCCCCGGGGCACCCACGGCGCACCCCCATGCTCTCCCAGGGCACCCCTGGGGGCACCCTCGAGAGGGTCCCGGGATACCCCGTGGTTCCCTCGAGAGACCCCCGGGGAGCTCGCTGGCGGACACCCCCGGGACACCACCAGGACACCACTGAAAGACCCCTGGGACACCCCCGGGAGACCCCAGGGAGATCCCCGGGGCACCCCCGGGAGACCCTAGGGAGACCCCCGGGACACACACGAGACATCCCCATGATAGCCTCGGGATGGCACCGGGACGGGCCCGGGAGAGGCCCGATACGGCACCGGGATGTCCCCGGGAAGCCCCGGGACAAAGGCAGGGTAAGAAAGGGTTTAGCTAATGGAGATATCAACTCTTCCGGGAACCAATAACGCGTAAACCATGTCAAACCAAGACCGATCAATATCCGAACGGAACGGATTCGAACTTCTCCTAGAATAGTTTCCGGTGCGAAATGAAATTCATAGGATATATATGAGTAATTCAAAGGAGAAATAGAAATATTTGATAGGATTCGATTCATTTTAGTAATGAAAAAAAAACTAATAGGATTTATTATGTATCAAAATTTCATCACTACAACGAAGGCTTTTTTTTTAAGTATATTGATAAGATAGCTTGGTACCCAAACTGTATCAATGATTGTGATCCTCATTGTGTACATAATTCGTCTTTGGATCTACCAAAGAAAATTTTTAGGTATAAAGCATATAACAAAAGAGTTTCCATTTCTATCGGTCATAAAATCAAAAAAGAAAAAGCAGACAGGAACAATTTGATTCTCTAAGCAAGCAGGTTTTGGGTTATTGTTTCAGCACCCTAATTCTTTTGTTGGCTCTGATACCAAAAAAGAAAATAGAGAAAAAGACAGTCAAGGGCACCCCGGGGCACCGCCGGCGTACCCCCGGGATAGCCCCGGGGCTCTCACGGGGCACCCCCGGGGCACACTCGGGACACCCCCAGGACACCCGCGGCACACCCCCACGACACCGTCAGCACTCTCACGGGGCACCCCAGGGACACCCTCGGGACACCCCCCGGGAGATACCTGGAAGATCCCCGGGGAACCCCCGTGACAGCCCCAGGGCACCCCCGGGACACCCCAGGGGCACCCCGGGACAACCCCGGGCCACGACCGGGAGACCGCCGAGGCACCCACGGCGCACCCCTGTGCTCTCCCAGGGCACCCCTGGGGGCACCCTCTGGAGTGCCCCGGGATAACCCGTGGTTCCCCCGAGAGACCCCCGGGGCTCCCGCTGGGGGACACCCCCGGGACGCCCCCGGGAGACCCCCGGGAGATCCCCGGGGCACCCCTGGGAAAGAGCCCCGGGACAGCCC